CGCTATTCGGGTAAACGATACGATATCTGTCAGATCGCCCACCAATATCGTTATATCAGGGTACACTATAAGCATATCTAATTAAAATATTAGCCACATTTGGGCTAAGTATATGCGGAATATAAAGAAATCTTGTCCTATTTAGGTATAACCAAAAGAAATACCCACTATTTCATAACGATATCTTGATTTAACGATACCAGGTCTGTGTTTTTTCAATATCGCTATGGCGAGGTTTTACTGTACCTACCTACGTAGGTAGCAGGAAGATGCCATCCATGAAGCCACGAACCCTATGGTCAACCTTCACGGTGATAGGCCAGCCATCATTTTCACTGCGAAGTACTATGCGCCTAATCAAATACTGCATCATGTGGCCTCCCGGTTCGAGAGGCCGAAGCCGCTTCCCAACCCGCGCTGCCATTTCGGGTCCTGGTGGAACCCCTAACTACGGTACCATAGAGATCGTCGCTCGGTCGATGTCCCATTTCCCCGATCTCTCCGATGGTCCCTCCGATGGTCCCTTTTAAGGTATCAACCATCTTCGCATATGTGTTCCTGCATCATGCATGCAATACCTAGTCTACCTATCTCGCCGGTACCGAGTTTTCCGAAGTCTGTCCAACTTGTCGGGCCGGTTTCTGATTGGTTCCGAGCGAGTAACGACGGGTTCTCGCTCGAGTCAGTCAGGAACTGCGGCTGGGCCCGGTGTGTTTTTCGGCACTGATAGATAGCACGGCACGTGGTAAATTCTAAATATAGTCCTTGAGACGACTGATTTTTAAACCTGGGTAGGTCCTCATTTATTACTCGCGATGGACGTAACCAAATTATTCCATGTTCATCTGATTGTGTTGTTAGCAATGACTGCCCCTGATGCGGTCGATATTCTTCTTTACTTGCCTAGCATTCATACTATCATATCAATATGGATTATAAATTAGGATCCCATGTTGGGCACCTGTCTGGCCACTCAAACGAAGACTTCCCAGTACGTCTCACTTGCACCCCGGGCCCTGCCGCGGCCGGGCGGACGTCATACCGGCCGGTCAGAAACCGATCCCGTATCGGACACCTTGGTGGGACTGCATCTGAGGGGCACGGCCCCGGGACGATACTCACCACCCGACGCATTAGAAGTCTCCGGTGGGCTCGCCCGATTCTCAAGATACGCCGCGACTCTTCTGTGCTCGTCCCTGGTTTCTTTCCTCAATGCCTTTCTCTCCTTGGAGGCCTTTCGCGCCCCTTCTCTGTCATAAACCCTAAGCTCTATAATCTCCTCAGCGGTGAGTGGGCGGGGCGCCTGAGCAACTGCACGCAATGCCGCTAAAGAGGATGGCACAAGCTGTCGTCCGTTGGCATCCGTTACGGCAATCATTAACAAAGCCCGCAACGCAAAATGGGCATCGTTTCCAGCCGCATGTAACGACGTGAAAGGGACTTGAAGGGTTCCAAGCAGACGAGCTAAATTGATTCGAAACGAAAGTCGTAGAGGGGTTTGTGCAGCTTTAACCGTATCAATGTGGTATAACGGCTGAAGATTGATATCAAGATTTTGAAGAACTTTGAGATCCAAAGCTCCATGTGTAACCAAAACGATGTCCCTATTAGCAATAAATGCCATAAGTCTTGGTTTCAGATCGGCTAGTTGAATAGGCTCTGAGTGACCAAACAAAAACCTCCGAACAGCTCTTTCGCAATATTTGGAATCGCCAACATGGAACTGCTAGGACTTTATGATGTTGGTCGGGGCTTTTGGGTTTAAGATCAGGTCTTGTAATAATCGAGCATCGAGAATAGACAGGCCGATAATAAACTGTTGGTTCGGGACGATCTGGTCGTAGCCTTGAAAGGTATCAATATCGATGCCAACATAAAGAGCATCCTGAAGCATGTGATCTGAGTCTAATGCGAGTAATCGGCGCAAAATGATAATCTCGTCTCTGAGGATCCAAGGACCCAGACCATTGAATGATGGAGTGACATCCCCCATGGTGCAGTATGTGACGATTATGGCTGGTCTTCTGATAGTAGGGGTGATCGACTGCCTAGTAGCTTAGAACGTTATTTCTGCTAAACTCTGGCCACGCTCCTTTGCCTATTAGCTCTCACACATAACCATGCCCCGAGTGGTACCCACCGCTTTCGGACATTCATAGCTGTTTTCATCTCATAAAAAACCTCAGACTGTAGTAAACACTGTTGGCCACGCCAGGTGCTCAAGGCCATCGAGCTGAATAGACTTGCCACAGGGACATTCAACACCCGGGAACATCTGCTGGGTGGTGTAGGCTCCCTCGAAGGCACTTCCAAAGCTCCGCCCTCGAAGGGCCTCCACTTCCTCCATTCGGTTGTGGATGTGGATTTTTTTATTCTTGCTTCTTCCCCTGTGCCCTGGCTATGCCGCCCTGCTAGACAGTCGATCTACGAGTCGGTAATAGCCTGAGCGGAAAGAAAGCGGGGTTTCGTGGCTGACCAGTGTCAACCGATCCAACTCAATCAATAGGTTTCCCCTTATAAGCGAACATCTTCCACGAACCAGTCCTTTTAGTTTCTATTATTATGAGGAGTTAAGAGCTGCGTAGGTGGTGTGTAGTTGTAGCTATGCCGCCAGGGGGTATTGTACTGGGGGGTCATAGGGATCGATAGGATCACACACATATACTGATAGGGGGCTTCTGCGGCTATATAAGAGGCAGTCCCCCCTATATCTTCCATCGGCTTGAAGATTATTATGTTCCTCCTTCCCTCCCATCTGACAGCTGTCCTATCACTCCGGGCCACAAAGCACATGGCATACCTAGGTATGCAGTGTAGTAGGCAAGTGCTACCTGCCCATGACGTTGCCTATACCCATACAGACGGGAGGCGGGTGGAATGAGAGGTAGCGGCTTCCTCAGGGTGACTTTTACGCACCTCAAGGGAGAATACCGGATCTACTTTCAGTCCACAAAAGCGAATGAAGCTGCGAATTCCGCGACCTGCCCTGAACCCTCTTAGTTCTCGGAGTCCACAAGTACTCCCTGACGTCAGTCTACGTTAATGGCGTAGGTGGTTGAGAGAGAGTATAGGTATCGTTATGGGTTAAAGGTTGTATGAAGCTGACTGGGAGGGCCATGCATAGCGTATACCTACCTGTCCTAGAAAGAGATCTTGATAATCTTGACTCTTCACGGTATCTATAGCAGTTCTATCATGTGGGCACATGTCATGGTCAAACCATTGCCCTCGACTGTCTTAGCTTTAAAGGAACTGGGCAAATGACAGAATCAATGTGTATCACTTGCTACCAAAACCTCTCACTTAGATGCAGCTGGTGTTTAATCATCAAGCTCATTGCCAAGCCATTCACAAAGCTCACACAAACTTTGACCCGACATCATCAACCGCAGGTCCGTCACAGCCTCATCCATCACCCATTCGTGAAGAAAGATATCCATGCAAAGCCAGCACTAGTTAGACATCCCACATGTTTTGCTCTGTGAGCCTGTGCCTACATACCCAGGTAGCCATACACCCAGCGAGCGGCCCAGGTACCAGCTACGGAGATGCAACAGAAGCGCCGCCGCCGTGTTTTCAGTCCTGGACAAGACCGAAAACGAGCCCGGCCGGAATGAGGGCCAGCAGGGCCGCAACCGCCGTGACGAGGGGCGCCAGCCACCCCAGTATCCCGAGGCTCGTCATCGTGGCGAACAAGCCCCCGGCCGGGGTGAACGCGCCGTACATGGCGGACTGGAACGCCGCTGCGAGCGAGCCTGCGCCGGTGTGGTGTTAAGATGTGGGTTACGGTAGGGAGTTGCGGATTTGTGGAGGATGAGAAGAGAAGAAAAGGTAACAAAAAAAAAGGTATGCAAGATTACGAAGATACCGTACCGGAAATGGCGCCGCTGTGACCGAATCCCAGGCAGGGTCCTAGTGTGACGAGAAGTGTGAACGTTACCGCCCAGGCGACGAGGGCCCAGTAGACATCTAGACCGCCAGCCAGCCAGCTTTCGGGTTAGCGATATCTAGCCTCGTACTGTAGTCATTCTACAGTGTCAGGTGCCAGATTGGCTTGCAGGACAAGACATACGAGGAAGCGATACATAGGCCGTGAAAGACTCCCAAGCCGGAGCGAAGAGTCCAGGATCCGCGACAGGAACGAAGCACCATCGCCGTCGGGGGCCAGATGCTGGCTGACCCAGCCCGGGACAGAATCGACAATGTATATAGCCTCCATGGTAAAGCGTATCAAGAGAGTAAGTATAGTATGTCTGTAAGTTAGAAAGGGGCAAGGTGCTGCAGGCGTTGAGGTTCGTTGTGTATAAGTCGGTCGTCTTCGATGCCAGTGCTGTGGTCAAAGACCGGAGATTCGAACGTGAGTGCACTTCGGCCGTAGATTCATGCCCAAGCATCAACCAGCCTCGCAGACTGGCCAACAACAACAACCCGGGCCAATGATTCACAGGTGCGTAGTGACCAGCGGGTGGGCGAGTAGCACACCAATGAATCTTGCAGAATTGTCCAGGTTGTCGGTCGGGTGCCGGCGTCTAGAATTGACGTGACATCCAACAACAAACAGCGACCGACCTTTGGCGATGTCACGAGCCGGAACAAATTGATAGGCACAGGGTTATTGTTATGTCGAGTGACAGCTACACCGCAGCCTCGGCCAGCTAATGAAGCCCCTGGCTCTGCTCCAGTAACCAAACTCCAGCTTCATCGCTGCACAGATACATCTCATGAGAGTTTCAACTCAACTATAGACCGATGACAGCAGCCTGGGGGACACGAAAGTTTCACCTTATTGCAGCAGGGAGCGTCCCGAGCTGATAATTTTTGATGAATTTTTACGTCCGGGTGGACCTGTCTATCTATCTACCTAGCTACATGCACCCGCTCCCGTAGGGGGTGGTAGAGGTCTACTGGTGAGCTGGTTACATGGTCCGATACTGTGCAGTATAATGAAACGGCAAAAATGAAGTTATTACTTGTTAAGCAAGAAAACAAAAACAAAAGTGAGGGCTGAGCCGGGATTGAACCAGCGACCTTTGGAGATTCCAAGTCTTGTAATCCTTTGGAGGATCCAATCATTGCAATCCACTGCTCTGCCACTGAGCTACCAGCCCATTGGTTGATGGTTGATTGGGTCCCGAGCTGATTGGCCGTTTGGCGGGTTTATATAAGCAGGTAAAGTGACTGAGAACCCCTGCACCGAGCTGCTCCAAGGTATATACCCGACGCTAGGGTATACTACGGAGTCCAAAACCCCTACTATTACCTCTGAGCAGTTATATTAGATCTGTCAAATGTGTATGTGGAACCTCAGTTATAGCTAGTCTGATGGCGTGGTGTTCTAGGTGTTCTGGAATTCTGGAATAATGGACAGAAAGTCATATAGCCCTCCATGTTAAGGCGGAAGCAGGAACATCTAGAAGTATTGGGCTTGTTCTAACTTCTAGGTAAAGTGTTAGTGTTCCAAGGTACTTACATAAGCTGGAGATAGGCATTCGTCGTTACTCGAGGTTACCTCTACCCCTCTTTCCGTCCCCCTTTCAGCCCAAATAAAAGCCCGAGGTATACAACGACGGGGGACCACATCGCCCCAATCACCCCCGAGGGTCGAAGTATACCTCCCGAGTGGTCTTCTTTTCCTAGATCTCAATACAACCTCTCACTCGGAATTGTTCCGTGTCGACTTATTTTACGCTAGGGAGATACTATATAAGATAATACAACATACCATGTGACACAAGCCAAGCGACACCTTTAATTACCTCTTGTTGGACGGGATGTGAAGCTAGATTTAGATTCTTAACTGTTCTGCTTCACGCCGTTAGTTTCTCTCCGATGAAGTTACTCACCCCCGCGACATCAAATCTCACAGGACATTTCGCGAAACTGCGCACGCTGTAGCATATCGGACAGGATTGAACCGCACGTTTGATTATCTCGGATCTAAGCTGTCAAATATGTCACTCAAGGATAAGGTATATGCTATTACTGGTGGGGCGAGTGGTATTGGTCTCGGAACGGCCAAGATACTGTCCCAAAGGGGCGCAACCGTGGCTATTGCCGATGTCGACCAAGACGCAATGCGGAATGCTGAGGAGTACTTCACCCAGCAAGGCGCACCCTTCGCCGTGACTAAGGTGGACATTTCAAAGAGGGAAGAGGTCGAGACATGGATCGATGGCATCGTTAACAAGTTTGGCCGGCTGGACGGCGCTGCCAACTGCGCGGGCATCATCGGCAAGCATCATGGTTTACGAGATATTGTTGATCTGGAGGACGATGAGTGGCACAGGATTATCGCTGTCAATCTCACGGGCACAATGTACTGCCTGAGGGCCGAGCTTCGGAAAGTGGTTGACGGTGGTTCTATTGTCAATGTGTCCTCTATCCATGGCCTCCACGGTAATACTCGGGCGGGCTTTCTAGTCTAATGTTGTGCAGGCGACTGACGAGTATGCAGGCTTTGCGAAACATGGAGCGTACGACGCTAGTAAGCATGCGATCATAGGCTTGACCAAGGCTGCGGCCAAGGAGAACGGCTATCGAGAGGTCCGGGTCAACGCTGTAGCACCAGGAGCGATATATACTCCGCTGATGGAAAAGAGCTGGAAGCTTCACAACCGCCCGGAAGATGCGCCGTTCGATGACCCAGCCGCCTTTGGTAGACAGGGGACCTCGGAAGAGTGTGGGCAAGTAATCGCTTTCCTCTTGGGCCCGGAGTCTACATACGTGAGTGGCGGCGTCTACACGGTCGATGGGGCGATGTAGGTTGTGCCTCGGTTCTGGAGGAGCAAGGACGAGAGATAGCAATAGATGGGTATCTTATAACATGGTGAAGTGCCTGGCCTAGAAGACGTCCTCGGGATTGACGAAGTGGTTTCTCCCATCGTCTCGGACGTGCTTGCGATCCTTGTCTCGCCGCATTGCTTTGCGCATGTCGTAGGCATCCTCGCCATTCGCAGTAGGATCATTCACGTTCTCGCCGTAGTAGTCCTTGACCACGCGGTACACACTGTACCCCATGCCCTCATAGAATTTGATAGCCTTGGTATTGCTCTTCCTTACGAAGAGGTCAACGAAATAGGCATCTTCTTTGTCGGCAGCAGCCTCAAGCTTCTTCGTGAGGAGAGTACCAAGGCCCAAGCGACGGGCTTCGGGCGCGACAGTGAGAGCAGTGATATGTGCGTGCCATGGCAGATAGTGCGGAGAATAGCTGAAGTAGTCTGGAGAACTCTCCACCTTGCCCATGACTATGCAGGTTTGAGTAACTCATCGGCATCGGGGGTATAGAGACGGAAGCTTACTGTATCCCACGATATTTCCTCGCTCATCCTCGGCGACCTGGAATAGCGCGGGCCATTTCGCGTAGTATTGGAAGTAGAAACTCAAGTCGTAAGTTTCTGTCAGTGGATCGAGATTGCACCTTGTGATCCTGTTGAGGTCGTCAGGTTTGAATGGCCGGAAGGAGACCATGGCTGGGATGTAGTATATCGGAGATCAGACGCAAGAAGGAAAAAGAGCTGAATCGCTCTACAGAATTTGGTCTTGTAGATAATCTTGTGTGCTTCTCCTATATAGGCTACCTACCTACAGGCAGGAGTACGGAGTAAAAAGCCTTTGTGGTCTTGATGTATATTGATGTACTATGGGATGAATGCTAAAGTAACCTGAAGTTGAAGCTGTAGCTCCGATGCCCCTCCAAGCCAAAAGATTCGAGCAGGGAGCTAACTACATGCAGTATTGCATGCAGTAATTACTGTATGGGCAAACTTGAAAGTTGTTCGGTAAAAAAACGTGGGGTCCAACATTATGTAAGTCCTTCCAGACCTGGAGCCTCTACGAAGTACTCAGCATTAAGTGTTGAATTTGCAGGATAGGTCCACGGGCAGGTATAGGGGGTTAGTGAACTGACAGCTGAAGTCGTCTCTTGCAGCTGTCATGGTCAGTCACCTAGGCAGTTGGGTCTTAAATAGGTAATTACCTCCAGTCAAGAAGCTGCTTTCGAACAAACATTCTTATGGATGGATAGCTGAATGATCGCCAGGGCGGGCATCAATCGGCATCAATCGGAGTTGGTGTGTCGCGCTTTGTTAGGCCCCTTTGCAACAACTGGGGTGACTTATACTGCACACGTTGGATATCTTGCCTGGTTCAAAGTTGTGCAGTTGTGATTGCTAGGTCCATACGGATATTGGTAATCCACAGGTTTGTCCTTAAATCAAGCCCGTTAATGTCCAGATAGGTTGCAGATAGGGCAGTTTGAAGTTAATACCGGCACCCAAGATACATGCACCTAGTGTACCCCTATATACCTGTAATTAATCCTTATAATTAACCCTTAATAGTTCAAGCCTCTGTTCTCACCAATAACTCTTCTCCACACGACAGGGGCCCAGTTTCTGATAAGGACTAAGCGTTCTGCTATTGCCTCGCATGGTTTAGGTAAAGTTCGAGAAAAGCTGACTACGGAGGCAGGGGAGGAGGAGGATATGACATTGGCATTGTTCATGCCGCCATTTCGTTCTAACTCTAACCTAAGTGCTACACCACCAACACTACCACCAACACCACCACTACCACCACCACTACCACCACTACACTACCACCACTACCACCACCAACCACTACCACCACCACTACCACCACCACTACCAGGTACCCGACGGCAACACAAACGAAGCTAACACTAGAAAGTAAAAGAAGTCGGAACACAACCTGGTTACTGACTTACATAGTACCAACCTGGTCATATCCTATATTCTGACGGACATCCAGACGGAAAACCACCCATCCTTATCTGATACACATACATCTACAATCAATACCGAATGTGGACGCACAGGCGAAAGACAGGAACGACCAACGACGACGCCGCATAGCTCCTCAGCTCCCTACCCACACACCCAAGCTACATCGACCACGACGCATACACCGAAATACACCAGGGCCATCAGACTTCCACCATGCCGGAATCACCACGGACGCCGCGCCGGCGCCACTCGAGCATGGATGTGTCCTTCCACACCGACAGCCCCGAAGACGACATCTCGCCCAACCAGATCCGGCGCGCCTCCAAGTCGTCCTTCCAGGACCCGCTGACGCCCCTGCGCAACAGCATGAACGAGTCAGAGCTGGTCCTGCTCGGCGGCGGCGGCGGCGGCGAGGGCGAGGGCGAGGGCCACGACAACGGGCTGGGCAACCTGGCCGATGAGCTTGCCGACGCCCTGTCCGGGTCGGGCGAGGACGACGAATACTACGAAGACGGCGAGGGCCCGTCCGGCCTCCAGGACCACGACGGCACCGACGACGACGGCGAAGGCGACGGCACGGGGTACGACGGCGCCAGGCATCACAGGGAAGACGTAGCGGCGGCGGCGGCGGCAGCAGCAGAGGCAGCGGCATCGGCAGTAGCAGCAGCGAACAGACACAAGGCCCAGAGCTCGAGCCTCAGCATACCGCCCGTCAACGGCGGACGGGGGCACCGGCGAATGGGGAGCGCCTACGACGGGAGCGAGTACGGTTCGGAGTCGGACCTCGACACGCCGGGGATGCCGCCCAGTCTGGTGGCCCGGATCGACGCGGTCGAGTCGCTGGCGCGGAGGGGCACCGAGAGCACCGGCGGGCCCGCCGACGGCGTCTTCAAGAGGCTGACGGACGGGCTGAAGGATCTCGGGTCGCAGTCGGTCGTAGAGGGGAGCACAACAAGGTCAGTCCCCACGCATAGTTGCATTCCGTACATATGCATCCATATATGACATGCTTGCACACGCAACTTATGATACACCCCGCCATCCCCATCCCCATCCATCCCACGCGCGCTATTCAGATAAAGACCATCATCCAACTGACCAACGGCCGCCCCCCGGCAAAACAGGTTAATAACCGCCCACTCAGCCCTCGCAACGCACCTCGCGCACCAGACGCGCCAGCTGCACAACCTGACCTTCCCGCTCCTATCCCCCCTCGTCGCCGCGCCCGACGCCGACACGATCGACGCGCTCGCGCCGCTCCTGACAGCGGTGTCGGAGGCGATGCCGCGGCCCGCGGCGCCGGCCCTCGACAGCCTCGCGGCCCTGCACGCCGCCACGGCCGACCTGGCCCAGGCCCTCGCCTA